CAGCACCATTAAATGAAACAGCTATGAAAGTTGAAAGTTGTTGCCTTTCCCTGCATGGAGTAGTGTGGGAGGGTTGCTGTTAATGTTCATTATAAGCTTTATAAAGCTATTTCACTTTTTTGAAACAATGTACATGAAATACTTTTATTTCTTAAAAAACTAATTTTAGAAAGTCTGAAACATGTTCTGTTTATTTTACATATTTCTAATTCTTTAACTCATGTTTACCCTCAAGGTTGGACGAAGGATCTTGAGTTTAAACTCAGAATACCAGGATGGATACAAACAACAGTGTTAAGAACATAGGTGTTAGCCACTTAGGATTTTCTAGAAGGGACAAACCCGCAGATCTTTGGCCTCTCCAACCTCTGCAGCAAAAGGCTGTAGTCCATCATGATTTCTTGGTTAGTGGTCACCTCAGAAAAGACACATCTCAGGGGGCACCTGAGTAGTAGCTCATTGGTTGAGCGTCCGACTTCAGCTCAGGTCATGATCTCACAGCTTTGGGTTTCAAGCCCTGAGTCGGGATCTGTGCTGACAGCTCAGATCCTGGAGCCTGTTTCGGATTCTCTGCCCCTCCCCCGCTCGTGCTTTGTCTCTCTCTCTCTCTCTCTCTCTCTCTCTCTCTCTCTCTCTCTCTCAAAAATAAATAAACTTAAAAAAAATTTTTTTTTAATTAAAAAAAAAAAAAGAAAAGACACATCTCACGAAGACTCTTAGACCAAAGAGGAGGCAGCCCTTTTATTTTGACTGCATCTACGAGAATTTTCAGCCTCTGAAAGACGCTAGTTCGAATGCAAGTTGCACAGAAAGGGGTCATCTTAAACCCCTTTCGAATAAAACCCAGACTATCAATTAATGTTTTTGCTGGAACTGGTAAGAACGGGCCACTGAACTGAGGCAAGGGATGGTGATGGGGCCATGGTTGATCAGAAGTGTAACTAGGGTAGGGAAAAATAGTGTATTTCAACATAATTACATGGAGGCTGGAAAATTTTAACCAAGCCTACAAAACAAATTCTCTTTATTTTTTTTTAAACTTGATATTCTTTATTTATTTAAGTTCATTCATTCATTCATTCATTTTTAGTAATCTCTACACCCAATGTGGGACTTGAACTCATGACCCTGAGATCAAGAGTCACATGCTCTTCCCACTGAGCCAGCCAGGTGCCCCCAAGACAAATTTTCAAAACTTAAAATTAGCAAGCATCGAGCAGAACATACATTCACATCCCAATCCCTGTCCCCCACTCTATCCTGATGTTCCCCTCAACCCTAACCTAGCCCCATCCCTGGCTCTCTAGCATCTCTGACACCCCAGTCCCCTCCTAAGATGCACCCCGTCTCTGATCCCAGCCTCACCCTGGACACTAAGCCCTTTCTGAGGCGAACCATCTCCCTGACCTTGACCAGGTATCTAATCCTTATCCTACCTAGTGGTTTAAACACTGGTTTTTGATATTTCAGTATACTGTGTTATTTTAGTACCCACATCTGACATTGCTACAGATCTGAAATGCAAATTATTTATGTCTTGAGCTATACCCAGAGAATTACACTGCATTGAAAATCTAATTGAACAATGTTGCCCTTGTTTGGAAGGAGTTCTGAGTACAGTTGCCCCTTAGACGACACAGGGTTAGGGACACTGACCCCACCCCCACACCTGGCACTCAAAAATCTATATGCAACTTTTGACTCCCCAAAATCTTAACTGCTAACAGCATACTGTTGACTGGAAGCCTTACCAATAACATAAATAGTAGATTAACACATATTTTGTATGTTATATGTATTACATATTGTATTCTTACAATAAAATAAACTAGAGAAAATGTTATTAAGAAAATCATGGAGGGGGTGCCTGGGTGGCTCAGTCGGTTAAGCGTCCGACCCCTGATTCCAGCTCAGGTCACGATCTCACAGTTTGTGAGATTGAGCCCCGCATCGAGCTCTGCATTGACAGTGTGGAGCCTACTTGGGATTCTCTCTCTCCTTCTCTGTCTGGCCCTCCCCCACTTGCCTTCACTCTTTCTCTCTCTCTCTCTCTCAAAATAAATAAATAAACATTAAAAAACAAAATCATGAAGGGGTGCCTGGCTTGCTCAGTCAGTAGAGCATGGGACTCTTACTCTTAGGATCATGAGTGTGAGCCTCATGTGGATTGTATTTAAAAATTTTTTTAAATCAGGAGGAAAATACATTTATAGTATTGCATTTATTTTTTAAAATCCTCATATAAGTGGACGCATACAATTCAAACCAGTGTTGTTGGAGAGTCCACTGTATATCCCTTCCTATTTAAGACACTTCCAAATTATTTTATTACTGTTTGATTCCCATTTCCCAGGTTACTAGCGAGGCCAGGCATGTTTTCAGATATGTATTAGTCATTTGTATTTTCTCAGGCCCAATATGGATCCATATTTACTTACTAAAGCCCTGATGGAGCGGTCTTTGGAATAGCAGAGAATGAAGGACGATAAGCATTTAATCAGGCAGGAGGAGAAGGCAGAAGGGCATTAGGGGAGGGAGGGAGGGAGTGAGGGAGGGAGGGAGGGAAGGAGAGGAAAGGGAGGTTCCCATGCCCAGTATCCAGCCTTCCTCCCTGGGTTTCTGCATTCGTCTGGCTTCTCTCTGCACCAAATCTATCCCCTAGGGCTTGAGCCCTAACTCCTTTCTCATCAACCGCCTTGGAGAACCCCAGCTGGATAGGCCAAGTCACCTCCATCCTGGCCCCCAGAAAAGCATTGTAGACAATGATCCCCAGAAAATGGTCACTCTCCCAAGGATGTCTTTTTGCTCCAACCACTAATTGGACTACACTAGTAGCCCCTGAGCATTCACTCCAGTTCTGACTTCTCTCCCTGAGACTCACCACACCCCCCCCACACTCATCCCATTCCTACACCTCATTCTGTACCTGCTCCCAAGCCCATCTGAACCTCCCTCAATCTCATCCCCAATTTCTCCCTGTTCTGGATTTCCCCCATCCTTAATTTTCATCCTTCTCTGATCTTCTGCCTTGTTCCAAGCTGCCACCCCATCCTTGGCTCCCCACCACATCACCTCCAACTCCAACCTCATCCCTGATTCCAATCTCAACCTTGATCTAAACCCCATCTCTGAACATCTCTCCACCCCCAACCTCAAACCAAATGAAGCTTTTCCTTTATGTTTTCTTCCAAAAGTTTTATAGTTTCAGCTTTTGTTATTAGGTCTTTGATTCATTTTGAATTAACTTCTGTATGAGGTGTAAGGAAAGAGATCAAGTTCATTCTTGTGCATGTAGGTATCTAGTTTTCCCAGCACCATTTGTTGAAAGACTATCCCTTCCCCATTGAAGAGTCTTGGTGCCCTTATCGAAAACCATTTGACCATTTATGCTGACTTAGGTTTCTTTCTGGACTCTTTATTCTAGGTCTTCTTTATCCATTGCCTTCATCTGCTTAAGTATGTTGGGCACACTTTTTGACTTTTTGTCACATCATATCCTACAACCATATTTAAAGGCAAGAACCAAGGATGTGTGTGTGTGTCTTTATTCTTTTTTTAAATTGTTTTCATTTTATTTTAGAAGGAGAGTGTGTGTGAGTGGGGGAGAAGGGCAGAGACAGAGAAAGAGAAAATCTTAAGCAAGCTCCACACTCAGTGCAGAGCCCAACATGAGACTTGATCCCATGACCTTGGGATCATTTCTTTTTTTTTTTTTTTTTTTTACTTTTTTTTTTCAACGTTTATTTATTTTTGGGACAGAGAGAGACAGAGCATGAACGGAGGAGGGGCAGAGAGAGAGGGAGACACAGAATCGGAAACAGGCTCCAGGCTCTGAGCCATCAGCCCAGAGCCTGACGCGGGGCTCGAACTCCCGGACCGTGAGATCGTGACCTGGCTGAAGTCGGACGCTTAACCGACTGCGCCACCCAGGCGCCCCAACCTTGGGATCATTTCTTAACCGAATAATCCATGACATGAGCCCGGCATACCCTGGGATCATTACTTGAGGCCAAATCAAAAGTCAAATGCTTAACTGAGGTGGCCCAGGTGCCCCTCTCTTTCTTTGTTCAATCAGGAGTACTTCCCAGGAGTCCTCCAGTCCCGGCAGACTTCCTCTTAAGCAATGGTGCACTGAAGCCAGTTTGTACCTGCTTGTGAAAGCAGATCATTACATTTCCTAGATTTTTGTGAGCTGGT